AGATATATACTCAGGTATGGTATAGTCTTCGTGTAAGACTTATCCTTCCTAGATATACATCCAAGTATGATATGAATGCTTTTGCAGAATTATATTATATGAAAATGGCAGAAGCCTTCATCTTCCTAAATATATCCTGGGAATGGTATAGCCTTTGCGTAAGACTTATCCTTATTAGATATATACTCGAGTATGATATGAAGCCTTCTTCAGAATTATTATATAAAAAATTAGAAGGCGGCTACATTTTTCCTAGATATATCTCAGGTATGGTCTCCAACAGTTTTTTTCGATGAATGCAAAAAGAGACGTATAGCAAGATGTTAAAGGGGCCAGGAATAAATGCATTCTTAATAGGTATCATCTAGGGTATTCTTCTTCAGAATCTTTATATAAAATAATGGAAGAAGAATACCCTATTACTAGTGTGTACCTGGGCATATATAATATCTAGGATAGGCAAGCGCACAAAAATATTAGCAGAAGAATACCCAATCACTAGTATGTACTCGATGTATATTGTACTTAGAGACAGTACTGCATTGCTAGTATCACATTATCGCCACATTATACCTCCAATTTTCTAACCAATTGAAATACCAGACTGAGACCTAAATATCCTTTGAAAGTAACAAGAAGGTTGCGAGCAAGTGACGAGAAAATAACAGGAAAGTGCTCAGAACTGAAGGCGCAGTAATTATGATAATTTTGACTAATACCAATTCATAATTCTGGCTAAATTTAAGGTGCACTAAATTACGATCACCTGACATTGCACATTTTTACACTGAATGTCATCTGATATTAAGCTCTCTGGGATCACTATCATATGATTCTCTTAACAATACATGCGTAAAGAATCACCTGTCACTGAGCCCTTTGGAAACATTATCATATGACTCTTCTAACAAGATATATAGTGTATCTCTCTTGAAATCATTTCAGTTAACACTATACCATAATTTCGGCCAGTTCCTCACCAGTTTTATGACAGCTTCAGGATACTAGCAGGTTACTATCATGGCGTCAAGTTGGATCTCCAAATCACATATTCTAAAGATTTGCCAGAATTATGGTATAATGCCGGCCAAAATTAATCACGAATTTACTGCACTACCTGACATATTTTTTTACTACAATTTAGCATTTTAACAGGTAATCAAATAGGCACACATCTCATCTGTATTTACTAACCAACAGGTCACAGAAAGGGAAAACAGCCCATCTTTAGAACAAAATAATCAATAGACTATGATGTCCTAGAACATATTAATTGATAAACTATGATTTCTTAGGACATAATAGTCTGGAACAAGTAGTGTCCTAGGACATGATAATATATTAATATATTATCATGTTCTAGGACACCACTACATTTATGCTCTAGATTTAACAATAGTTTTTGAAACTGTTCTCTAGTATCTATGAAGTATTTGTAATCTTGAATTTATTGCTTAACTTACAAACTAAAGTAATAATTATTATCTGATATTATAATTTTTTTTATAATTATCTAGGCACTAAAATCATTATTATATAATATTTATTAGTAATTAATTAATTATATTAATTATTAATATTAATAGTAAAATTTCTGTAATAAATTTTATTAATAATAATTAATTTCTTTTATTTTTATTTGTATCAAAATTGGATAAAAGAATAAAAATAAAATCAGTCTTATTAAATTTAGTTATTATTAGCATCAAAATTCTATTATTCAGTTAATTTTTGATCAATTAAATTAAGAATTTATTTTTTTTTTTGTTTTTGTTATTTTAAAATAATATTACATTTTAGTAGATGAGCTATAATCTGAAATTATTATTACTTTAACTTCTTCATTATTAGTTTCAAATAAGGTTTCTTGTTTAAATACATTTTAGATTTGACAAAACATCTAAACTTTAATTTCACTAATTTTTAACTAAAGTATTTTATAAGTTTTAATATAATTTTACCTTTTTTTTGAATTTTTTAAGATTTTTAAATAAGGTTTAAATATAATTTTATTAAATTTTACTTTTTATTATTTAGATAACTTACAAAACTTTTATGTTTCATCTAGCAATTTAGTATAATATAACAAGTGATAATAATTAATAATTAGAATTAATCTGAATTAAAAGCAATTATAAAATTAAAAAACAATATTAAAAAAAGTATTAAAATAATATAAGTATCTTAATTATAATTTACAATTTAATCAAATATAATAGTTTATTCTAAATAAATCTAATATTTACAATAGAATACAAATATCTTTTAATTTTCTAATGTAAATAAGTAATTAAAGATGGTGTTGCAACATTGTGACGCTTATTTATCACCTGTTGCAACTTAAATTTTAATAATGTTGCAATTCGTTGCAACATTGTGATGCTTATTTGTCACCTGTTGCAACTAATTGAGGTGCCATCTTTATAAGTAATATTTATAAGTCATGTAAATAAGAAATTATTATTTTATTAAATAAATACTAAATAAATTTACATTTAATAAATATTTTTTAATTTAACTAATTATTTAATACATTTTTACTCAAATTATATTCTTTTTTACCTTTTTTTCCCTTCTTCAATCAGAAATAACTTATAAATTAAGTTTTATTTTTCTTTATATTTAAAATTTTATTATATATATATTCATTCTAATATAATAAATAAAATATCTTCTTAAAAATAATTAGATATTTTTTTCTTTAACTATAATTTTTTAAAATTTGATACTAATGTATAACTGAATATGAAAAATCAAATAATATAAATATATTATACTTTTTTATAATGATTTTTATTGTATAAATACTTTATTCAGTTAAAATTTGATATAACAAATTTAGTATTTAAACTAATTAGATTTTTTTTATAAGAAAATTTGTTATCACTATAATAATTTATTTAGTATATATAATGAATTATTTATTATAATAATAATATTACTAATTAAACTAATTAGAATAAATTAAATAATTATGTAATAATAAATTTAAAAATGAATTTTTTTTTGTTTTTTTAATTATAGATATAAGATTTTTTATTATTTTTTATTATTTTTTATTTTTATCTTTAATTTTCATTTATTATTTATTGATTTTTTTATTTTTTATTTTTAGAATTAGCTTTTTTTTAACCTTAGAAATTAACTAATAAATTAAATTCTTTTCTTGAAACGGTAGCTTTTTTAAAAATGTTTATTAATATTCTTTTTCTTTTCTTTTTTAGAATTAGCTTTTTTTAAATCTTAGAAATCAATTAATAAGTTGAATTTTTTTTCTTAAAATAGGTAAACTTCTTCAAGAATATTTACTAATATTCTTTTTTAAAACTAATCTTCTTTAGATTATGAGAACTAATAATAAGTTAAATTCCTTCTTCTTAGAATAAATGAATTTCTTTAAAATATTTACTAATCTTCTTTTTTATTCTTTTTTTTATAAGATTGATTTTCTTTAAAGTAACATTTATTATTTAAAATCTTTATTATATTAAAAAAATTTGTTATAAAATTTATTATATTAAATTTAGTTTATTAAGAATTAATTGTAATTCATTTTTATTAATAATAATTTATTAAAAATTTTATAATATTTTATTAATAATTAATATTTTATAAATAATTATATTTAATTTAAAAAAACATTATAAAATATTTTATTTATTTATTAATATCTTATTAAACTTGAAAAATTAAATAAATTTATAAAAATTTAGTTAATACTCTATACTATTTTTAACAATTATTATATAATTTTCTTATCTTTAAAATATTAAAATTTAATGAATTTATTTAAATAATATAATATATATATTAATGATTAATCAATTTTATAATAATTTTTAAATTTTATTAGTCTAAAGCAAAATAAAGGATAATATATAATCAGTTAATATAACATAAATATATCTTAATATTCATTTATTCAATAATTAAGTCATTCTAATTGGTTTTGTAATTGTATAAAAGAATTTTTTAGTTAAGATTATTCTAGATTTAACGTTAATAATAGTTCTTGTTTTCTAGTTTTTATTACACTTTGATATAAATTAAACAAACTATTAATCTAAACTAAAAATCAATTAACTTTTCAAATTTACTTTTAATTTTAACCAATTTTTACTTTAATTATTCCTAACCAATAATCTAAAATCATTTATGATCTATATAAAAGTATTAGAATAAATTGTATTATTAATATTAATATTTATCGATTTTATTTTATTTTATAATAAAAACTTTATCATTATTATTGTATATAAAGTTAAGTTTTATATAATCATTCCTTTCTTATAAGCACATTTTATCAAGCTGAAGTTAATAATAAACTTATTATAAATACTCTTTGTAATTATATAATATAAGAGTATTGTCAATAAAATCATATTTTATAATTACAATAATTTTTATTTATTCATTATTTAAGATTAAAAGATCTGAATTCAATTTTGATTATAATATGATCTTATATTTAAGTGGCAAATAAAAAAAAAACTGTTGGAGAACCAATAATTAAAAATCTTTACCATATAGAAATTTTGAAGTCGCAATAGAATTATTTTCAAATAATTATATTTTTTAAAAAAAAACTGAATTGAAGAAGATATTAAAGTAAAAGATGGAATTAGTGAATGCATAAAATAATTAACGGTAAATCCTGTAATAACGGAAATATTTAGAGGTAATTTGCTAAACTTCTTATTCTTATAAACGATAAAATTAGTTTTTAAATCTCTATTTTTCATTTTTTCTCGATCATTCTCATTGCTTATTTTATCTCGCGTTCTTTATCTTGGCTGTCTAATTTTCCAATCCCCGATTTTGGGATGGGAAATTAACCATAACATACACTTGAATTTAAGCTGTATAAAAAACATTTACCTGTTTTGATTGGTCACTTAACCAGGTTAAATAACGCGTAATTGTTAGTTGAATTTAACGCGTCCATTTCATTTTCTACTTTTTTTTATCACCCTTTGGTAAAAAAACATATATTCAAAGTTATGAATCAACAATTAGAAGAAGTTTCACAAAAATTATTTGAAATTAATTCTCCCTTTACGCTTCTTCAAATTCTTAATGATAAAGCGATAGCTTGTGATTTCATTGAATGGGTTTTATTAAAGTAAATAAATATTTTTAAAGTTTAGTATATATATTTTTTTTAAAGAAAAAAACAAAAATTCTAATTGAAATAAAAGGATTGATGTTCGTCTAGGAAAGAACATAATTTCACCAAATAATGAGACGGCTATTGGAAATTTATCTTCCAAACAAATTGGAAGATTACAAAGTTAGTAAGTTTTTTTTTTTTATATTACTACAAAGTACCAAAGTCAAATCAATTAAATATATACAATGCAGGTTTAACTCAAATCTCAGCTTCGCTAGGATTATGTAAAACAACTGAAACAGATTTAATTGATGTGAGTGTTATTAATTATTTTTTTGGGGGAAAGAATTTGAACGATACTAATCAATTCTGATATAGGCAACAGCTCCTCATGATCGGTTAATAAGTTTCTACTTCAATTTATTAAATGTCTTAAAAACTTCTCGAATATTTCTTAACGATGATGATTCCTTTAAGATACCAAATTCAATGTAAATTTCATATTTTCTTTTTTTTACATATTTTTTTTTTACATTGAATTGATGCATAAAATTCAATTGCATTGCGTTCTCTTAGTAAACCAGATGATTTCAAAAAATCATGTTGTTTAATTGATTCCATATCAAAAGATTGTGATTTATTTAATAAAATCGTCACAAAAGAAATTGATTTATTTCCAAGGGATGTAATGTTAATTATTGGAAAAGAAAAGTCCGCGGAGGATGTTGGAAAACTTGATCTTTCTATACTTCAATCCATGAAGGAAAAAAAACTTCAAGAATTACAAGACCTTAATGCAAAATTCAATTGCATACAAGAACAAGAAGCATGCCTATATTTGGATGAATCGGATTTAGACGATCAAACTCACGATGAACTATGTGTGATTGCTAATGATTTAACGTCTCAGTTTAAAACATTTAATGAAATTTATGATAATGAAATTTCTCCATGGATCAAAAAGGATCACTTTAAATATGGCGAAAAAATTGTTGAAGGTAAATCCGCCTTTATGGTTCATATATTTTATATTTTATAATTAGTTTAATGAAATTCTATGTTTTAGGCCTAGGACATCAAGTGCAAGAAGCAAATAAAAGACTCGGTAAAATACGCAATGTAATAATTACATCTCAATATTCAATATTTATATTTATAATTTAATATTTATTTATTAGTTAGATAACATGTTTTATTATTTTTAAACATGAATAATTAGAGTCTTCAGGACTTTAAAACTATACAGAAATCATTTGAAGAAATCGTATCTCATCATCCAAACACGGTAGAGCCACAACATTCAGTTAACAATAATACATCATCATTTGGAAGCAATAAAGTAGCTACTAGTTATGATATAACAAATCCGAATATGATTATAATTAACAATCGAGGTGAGTCTGGATTAGAAGCAATCACAAGATTACAAAAAGTTGAGAAAGTGTTGAAAGATGGTATTGAAAGAAGAGTTAAAATAGTATAAGTATCTCAACTTATTAAATCTACAAATTTGCAATTTAACTGAGAAATAATGGTTTATTCTAAATAAATCCAACACCTACAACAGAAATACCAAACATCTTTGCATAATTTTTCAAATATTGATCTTCTGATACAAATAAAATTTCGTCAATCTTTACAATCTTAGCATAATATAACCAACAACTTATAGCCGGACGATATTCTAGTGGTACATCCATGACGTTAAATTTATCCTCTTGTATATAAATGTTATCTGAATTCTTTGATGATTCTTTAATATATTTTTGGTCTTTATAAACAACACCCCTAGAGTTATCATTTAACATTCCGTCTTTAATAATATAATTCTCTGCACAATTCCATTGTGGTAACTTCTCATTCGTTTTTTGAGCACGAATAAAAAGTTCGCTCTCATTCTGCTTTGCTTTGCTAAATTGTTGATCCAATTGTTCATCCAGAAAACGAATAGCATCTCTAGCACGTGCATTTTCTTTGTTATTTCCTTTTTTAATTGTATCCAAAGAATCAATAACTATATGTGTAAAATGATATAATTATCTTTTGTCATAATTATCAAGAGAAAATATTTCAAAGTTATATAGAAAATATAAATATTTTTACCGTCTAAAGGTACAATAACAATACATTTTTCCTCCGCTATCCATTTCTTAACAGAATTTAAATGATTTAGGAATACACTGATATCAGCCACACAATGTATAAGTGTGTTTGCCTTTGAATTCTTTAAAGCTGAAGACCCAGTACTTGAAGATTGTAGAGGCTTAATATTCTTAACCTTATCTTCCAAAGAATTCACTTGATCTTGCAAAAACCGATGTGCCATCAATCTCATGACACGTTGACGTTCCTTTTTCTATAAAAAGCTTATTATATATAATAACATTTATTTAACCAATTTCCTTCGAAATATTGAAGGCCTTACCTTCAATTCCTCGTCAATCATTATAAATTGTCCGGAAGATTCGTTGTATTCTAATAAAGCTAACGACTAATGATAAAGCGTAAAATGTAAGCGATAAAATATAAAAAATTACAATACATGGTCATATTAACATACCTTAATTTCAGAGATTTTTTTACTAAAAACTATCAATCTAGCAATGCTAACTTTAAGAACATCAACTTTGCCAGAAACATTGAAATTAATATCTTGATGAACTACTCGCAATGGAACTATTCCTAAAAATTCTCTGTCTTCTGAAAGAGCAAGTTTAGCGATTTCATAGAGATCATCATTCGCAGATAATAAATTGGAAATTTTTTGGTGATTTAAGATATTGATCAATGATTTGAAGAAATTCTTCGAATTCTGAATTTTCAACAAAAATAATAATTAATATTTATATTAAAAAAAATACTTTCGTGTAATACAAAGTGATCAGATTATACCATTAAAAACATTCCAAAAATCTTCTGATTTTCTTTATCAATCGACTTTGAATGATCATACAATTGACTCAAAAGATCAGTCAATGTTCTCAAATATTCACACCATAATACAACAGTAGGTAAGAATAAATCTACAACAGATCCTAAACAACCTAACTCTACGTCTTCAGAGCTCAAAAAAGAATAAATATTTTCAACGACTGGAACTAAAAAGCCAAAAACCAATCCAATTGCCATAGCTTGCAGATTTCGAACTATAACAATCCGATCTTGCACTAGAGAATATAAATATAACTTAATAACAGTAATTCAAATAACTTTAAATAACTTTGGAGGAAAGGTAATCTTACCTAATCCTTTACGCAGATCCCAAATGGTAAACATGAGAATGAATACAACTTTTTTAAGGATTATGTTCAAATTGCGAAGGTTTACGTCAGATGAAGACAAAGATGATCCAAAATAGTGAAAAATGTCTTCAATACCACCATCTTTGATTAAATTTTCAACATTTTCTTCAAAAATATACCAATGTATAATCATGAATTTTTTTACAAAGTCCTGAACCGTTAACAACCTATAACAATTATAGAATTTTAAAATCAATCTAATGACTCATATTTATAAATAAAAAAAGTTGTCACTTACGTATCATTGGTATCTTCATTGATTTGAAGTGCTTTTTGGGCAAATTTCGAATAAAAAACTTTTAGATTTTCTAAAGAAATACCAGAAGGTTGTTTTGTCGAAAGACTTAAGAAAAAAAGTAAATTAGAATATCTTATCTTTTTAATTAACAGCAATTCTCTAAATAGGAATACGTTACCTAAAGCAATACCAATAAACAACGTCTAATTCATTATCGTCATACATCGCAAGGAGAGCTAATTGTGCTTGTGCCTTGCCTAATAATAGATTATCAAAGATATAATAACAATTCTTATATTAATTCATTAATATTCGAAAATTTACCATTTTCGCAATAAACCCTTGCTGCTTTTGTATAAAAATGTCTGGCAAACTCCCAACGTTTCTCATTCGCATCAAGAGATGTCTCACGATAACGAGCAAAATCACCTAAATGAATGAGACATCGTTGAATGCATTCAACAGTGAGTTCTCGTCTGCGATATTTTGACGCAGAACGTGTTGCAGTAGCTGACGAGTTAACACTATTCTTGAAAATCTCTATAAATAAAAATATGTAAGATTAGATTCCAAACAATTAATCAATTAAAAAAATAAAATAATTTAAATACCAATTCCAATCCAATCTAAATCTATATTTTCGCGAATTTTTAAGCTATTAACGATCGTATGATAAAATCCAGTACCTAGATCCAAATACCGACATAACTCGAGATATGTGGTCTGATATTCGGCCTTTTCGGGTTTAATCTAAATAATAAGAAATATTTCTAGACCGATTAGTTTGATCAGTATTATAATGTTTTTTGATAGAATCAAGCAAACTGACTTTACGCAATTTTTGCCTAAGTTCTTCTATATGACTATAAAAAACGTTTCTCCAAAGTTTTTCTTCGATGTTATGTTCATTAGCGATTTTAAGATCAATAAGAAGAATATCTTCATAAACATCTTTGAGGCTATATTCATAAATATTAATAAGTTAAATAAAGTATATTTGTTATCAAATATTATTCTTTTACCTATTGCGCAAAAATTCAGTTTCGTCGTCTAAATCCGCAGTGTTTTCGGGATTTTTGACTCTTTTTTTTTGCTGTTCTTGCTTCTTTAAGAGTTCAGAAGCGTCACTAAAAAAATTAGGTGTTAAATCGTAATATACTTTCATTTTCAAAAAAAAAGTCTTTTAAACTCACCTTAATAATTCTTTCAGCCTTTTCCTATCTTCGTTAACATTTGTTGCATTTGTTGACATTGTAAAGGAATTGACCCATTACTATTGGAAGAGAAACGACCTTCAAATTTAATAAATATTTTAGATTTTTTTTTTTATTTATTTTTTGATTTTGCGTTTGCTGAGAAAAGGTGTGTTCGGTGTTCAGACAATAATTATCAGCTGATCTGGATTAATTTATGATTAGATAATCTAAAAAATTTAAACGCGCGCCTAAAAATCTTTCACCTTAATTCTTTAAAATGGGGGCTCAAAGTTCTAAACAAATTTCAAGAAAATTACCACAGAATGTAGTTTCAAATGTCAAATCAAGTGCAACTGAAACACATTCATCCAAAAAAGTATCTAATGAACCGATAACAAATGACAAAGGTATATAATTTAAAAATTCGGTAGGTTTTCCTTGGGAAAATAATTCATTATTTTATTTAGCTACAGGAGATGGAAAAGATACCCGTTTATTAAAAAATTTAAATACAATTGGATATGTTAACTTTCCAAAAGAAAAGACCACATTTAAACAGGTAGAATCTTATAAACTTTATTTTACAAGTACATATTTATATATATTTTTTGTTAATATTTACCAATCCTTTTGTTTTTTTGAGGAAAGTCGGATGAAATGTTAAATATTCTTAGAAACAGAAAAGCATTTGATGAAGAAATCGGGGGAAATATACCAAAAAATCGTATATTTGTCTATGAGTTGAGGGAAATGCTAGAACAAAGGAAAAAAGCTCCTAATGAATTTACAGCAGAAAAGTTATCAACACAATATAATCTAGATGTACCAACCATAGAAACCTTGTTTCAACACATAAATACATTTACATTAACTGGAGGAGTAAACTCAAGAGCGGTATGGGTTGAGGACAGTCAATTATTTAGAAAGAATGAAAATGTTGTTTCTGACTAATAATTCTTTATTTAAATTCCAATTATAATAATAATTATAATAATTCTGTAAATAACTTTTTATTCTAAATTTTAAAAAATTTTCTTTTTTCTTGTAAAATCAATTTTTAGTTCCAAATATCAATGTTTTGAACTTTGTAAAAAATCCAACTGATTCTTTTTGTGGTGATTGTTCTGCTTTTTCCTTTGTCAATTTTGGTAATTGTGTCTCTTGAGGTTTTGTTGCTTGTTTGACAGGTGTCTTTGCAGATGTTGTCACTTTTGATTCTTCAACAGTACTTGCTTTATGAGTCGATGGGATAACTTGTTTTGGAGTTGCTTGTGGAGTTGCTTGTGGAGTTGCTTGTGGAGTTGCTTGCGGAGTTGCTTGTGGAGTTGCTTGTGGGGTTGCTTGTGGGGTTGCTGCTTGTGGAGTTGCTTGAGAAACCAATGGTTGCGTTGATTTTGTAATTTCTGTTTTTTCAGTATTGGCCCAATTCATAAATTTTTGTGCAGTTTGCGCGTCTAAAGTTATTCCCGCCTTGGTAAGTTGCGAATTGATGGCCATAATTTTTGAACTTACTTCTTTATCTGAAGCAAGCTTAGCCATTTGTAACATAGAAGGCATTTGACCTGTACTTAAGTCTATTCCTTTTCCTTGAAGAAGTTGAGAAAATTCTTGAATAGATGTAAGGATTTGAGGATCCGAACGAATTTTAGTTACTAAAGGATCGTTAGGATCAATTTTCATATTATTGTCTAAAGGTGAATTGATAAAATTTCCTGATGTGATATGAAATGGTCGACGTTGTAAACAAATTGCGACGTTTACTTTGGGAATAACATATCTTAATTTAATATAAACATTGTAAATGCAATATGGATTTGCATAGATATATCGTTCATTTCGAAATAAAAATCGCATCGACATCCTGAATGTTCCGATGGTAAAATCTTTTGAAATTTTGATGGTTAAATAGGCGAATTTTAATGATATCATGCAAGGCATCAATGCGCTTATCTTTTGTGCAACTAATCTGTTACACTATTTATTGTAATATTTCAAAATCTGGTAAGCTTTAAACATTAGTACGAGCAGAACGAATTTATCTAGTAGAATGTCAATGTGATATCATTTTTTTTTTTATATATCTATCAATTAAATTGATTTTAGATATCATTTATTGATAAAGTATTAATAGGATCAATTAAACCTTTTTTTTAAAGATATAATATTTTATAAACTAATATTATTAAGTCAATAAAACTAGATTTAAGTATTGATATTATTTATAAAAATACCAGGTATTTTATAATAAAAAGAAAATATTTTTTTGAATTTCATTGATAATCTTAATATATTTTTTCATATTATTTAATTAATAAAATTATAAATTATAACTTTTATCTTAAATATATAAAATATATTAAAGATACTTTCAAATATAATAATATATTAAATAAGTTATCAAAATTTTTATAATTAAAATTATTAAAACTTTATAAATTCATAAGGTTTTATTATAATTAAAATTAATTACAAATAATATAATTAAATATGATATCTTTTAAAAGATATATATAAAACATAAAATATATATATAAAACCTTTGTAATAGAAAAAGGAAAAACAGTCTGAAAAAAAAAATAAAAAATGAATTAACATTATATTTTGACTTAAAAATTATATTTAACATATGAAAGTAAAATTAATTGTTTTTTAACAGTTTTCCTAATTTATATAAATTTTATATATTACATTTTAAAAACTAATTATAAGAATTTATTATATATAATTTATAATAAAAAAATTCTAAAAATATTTATTAGCTATTTTTAAAATAATAATATAAAATTCTAAAATTTTGATTTAATAAAGAAATTTATTATAAATTTAAATATTTAATTTAAAATATTTATTAAAAAATAAGGAATTATTTATTAGTAATAAAATTAAACTTATTTTTTTTATATAAGAACTTAGTTTATTATTAAATTTTTTTATTTTTTAAAACTTAATACAAAAGTTAGATTTTTTTATAAAAATTTTTTAAAATAATAGAATAAATTCTATATAAAATTTAATAAGGAATTTTTTAGTTATATTAATTTTTTATATAATATATAATTAAAATTCTTTAAATAATATTTATTTTATAATTATTACATATAATAATTTAAAATAGAATTAAAAATAAAATATTATTTATTACTTTGATTATAATTTTATAAAATAATTTTTAAATATCTTTACCTTCTTTTAATTTTAAAAAATAACATATTTAAATAAAACAAAACATACTTTTTTATATAAATTTTTTTTAAAAAAAAAAATTATTATAAGATAAATATTTATTAAGATAATATTAATTATTTCTTTTATTCTTATATAGCATTTTATTTTTTTAATAAAAATTTATTGATATTAATCATATAAAATATAAAATCTGATTTTTTATTTTATATTTTCTTTTTTTTTAAAAATTTAAAATAAATAGAATATAAATAAGCTAAACTAAATAAAAAAGCAAAAACTTAAGCTTTATAAAAAAAATATTAATAATTTATCTATTAAAGTATATAAATATTAAATTTAAATTTATTTAAAAATATATATATATAGGGACCCCCCAGCAAAAGGGGGGCTCGGCCGATCACGTGATTTTGAGAAAATCGCAATTTAAGTTACGCAACCAATTTTTCTGAAAAATTTGATATTTTTCAAAAACGGTCTTTATAACCTAGAACGAAATTTCACAGACAATTTCTTGAAGGTATTAGCTCTCTTTTATTTATTTTATTTTATTTATATCATAAAATACGTAACCATATAGCCCTAAAAAACTTATTAAAAAAAACAGTAAAATTGTCTATTAAAAACAATTTTGTTTATTTAAAATTTCTATTGTCTGAAATGCAAAAAAAAACTTCAAAATGGATTTATATTATTTAATAGCACTATAAAGTTTTAAATTTACCTTAAAACTTCTAACTTAATTAGTATTAAATTCAACTGGCTTAGGACATGTAATATCACGGTAAGGTAAATCAACATAAGGTGCAATTTCTTTATACAATTCCTCTTGTCTTTTTAAAGAAAGTGGTCTAATGCTAATTTTGGAAGGTAGAATACTGGAATCGTATGAAAAGAAATGAATTATAATTTTTTTATAATCATCTTCAAGCCTATCTTTGTAACAAACTACTCTGGGATCTTTTGAGATAAATAATGGGCGACAAAAAAATTAAAAGTTACGCCTTCTTTACTAATATATTATGAATGGAAAAATGTATTTCTCGAAAGGTTAGACCTATAAGAATATGACGATTATAAAATCTCAAAATCACATAATCGGTCTGAGCCTTCCCTTTTGCTGGGAGAATCCCCATATATAGATTTTTTAAAAAATATTTATTTAATTTATAAAATTTAATAAAAATATTAGAAAAAATATTAAATCAAATAAAATTTTAATACCAAATTTGAAATTTTAATATTAAATTAAAAAAATCAAAAAAAAATTATAAAATTAAAAAGAATAATATAAAATATATAAAAATTTTAAAAAAATAAAAAAATTGTTTTATATTATTCTAGTTTTATATTAATTTATTATTATACAACCCTATAGAATCATACTAATATTATTTGACCTATATTTTTTTATATAATAAAAATATTAATTCATTATATAATATTGAATATTAATAGTTTATTTGTATTTAATATTGAATATCAGATAGTTTATTTAAATATAATATTGAATATCTTTATTTTTATGTACTATATTGATATTAGTAAATATAATAAGTTAAAATTTTAGGTGTTTGCAATATTAATTTTTAAATTAACTTTTTTAAAATTTTACTATTTATTAAATAAGTCAAATTATTTATATTTTTAATCCTACACTCAGCCCGTCAAACTTAGGATAACTATAACTTAATAATAGTGAGTAATGTGCAAGAAACTACTAAGTTATTGTGGAATAAGTCTTATCACAATCAACCTTAGGTCTATACTTTAGATGAGTAAAAATAACTTTAACAACTTGTAAACATAATAAATACAATTGATACGTTAAAGGATTTTTTTAAATATGTGTAATTTAGAAAGAGATTCCTTTATTGTAGAGATTTGTATCCTTAGCAATCCTTAACCTTGGATTCTAAATTTTGAACTCAAACTATTGAGTTTACACTATTATCTCTGCTCTTTTGCAAGGACAAATTTCTATCCTATTTATACAAAAGTACAATTATAAGAAATTACTATTTAATACTAAACTATTTTATAACGATAAGATAAATATAAAAGATAAATTATAATTTAATGATAATACTAATATAATAAATAATAATAATAAAATATAAGAATAAAATAAATAAAATAAAAATATTAACTAAGTTAAAAATGCTAATCATGCTAATCATATTAATAACGTTAATCATTTATTAATCTTTGTGATACAATAAGATTGACTTCATATGGTATCAATATACATAGTAATTTTAAGTTAATATTATTAGAATCAAATTTTTATAATAGCTTTTATAAATTAAAATTGTCAGATATTTTTTTAAATCATTCATTTCATGTTAAATAAAATTTAAATTAAAAAAATTTAATTTTAAAATGCAATAAATAAATGTAAATTCTAATAATATTTTTAATTTTCTTTAGCTATAGAAAATCCCTTATTTTTCTTTGTATTATCAAGTATATTAGCATCTAATTCTTTTAAATAAAAAATTTTATATTAAATTATATTTCTTTATTAATAGAATGATAATAAAATTTGATATATTTCATTTTCTTTAATATTATTATTATATATATTATCTAATAAATTATTTAACTTAATTTGTTCTTGATCTTTAAGTAATTTATAAGAATCTAAACTTTCTATATTTTTATGCTAAGTTATTAATTTCATAGAATCTCTTAAAAATCACAATTTTTAAAGTTTTTATATAAGTGTCTTATTTCTAATATAATTTGT